TCTGGGCTTACTCCGCATGGACGTATCCTCTCCTGATAGGACGCTAAGTCCCTGCGGAGTAAGTCCGCACGCAATGCTCGGCCTCCGTCTGGGATTACTTCGCCTGGATTTACAGTCAACGCGCCTACTGAGGACGCGCGCCTTCATCTAGGGCCTAGGGTACCCTTGTGTCCTTGCCTCTGCGGCTCGCCCTTTGCCGTCTTCACTGGTCCGCCGCCCAAACAAATGCCAACTTCGGCCTCCAAGGGTTGTGCGTCCTTACCACCCGTCCGTACCACAAATTTTGATATTAGCCTCTCCTGAATTTACCTCCCTGGTTCGCCTGCCCTGTGGAATTCTTAGGGGCCCGCTCTGGGCTCTGGGGAGGGACTGCTCAAAGGCGAGCTGCGACGAAGAATACTGCATATAAGATCCCGAGGGTATCCAAACAACCGAGGTTTGCGAGGGTATATTCAGGGTATTCAGAAAACAAAAACGAGGGTATAACAACAGCCCGTGTTTTCTTATACCCCCGAGGGTTTTTCCTATACCCGAGGGTTTTTATGCCACGCTATCCACTCGCAAGACATAGCGCATCGCCGTGGCCGCTGGGGCGACACGCTATCGAAAAGTTCCTGGCCATACGCAGTCGCGGGACGGGGTCGAGAGCTTTGGGGGGCGAGAGCCTGAGCACGATCACTGCCCCATGCAGCCAGAGCTAGCCCCGAAGACGGGGATAGCGGCGCTCAGGGCAGCTGGAATTGCTCAGGCGATCGCAAACATGTATCAAGGGAGTGTGGATTAGTGACGGGTCCCGATTCCATCGGAAATCGTGGATGTCCTACGCCAACAGAGGCGGCACCAGCCGCATTTTGGGGATGGCACCTCCCCCGATCCATGGATTTGTCGACCGCGCGCCAAATCCATGGATCGCTAATCCATGTTTGCGGTCCCTCGACTCAGGGCAGCTGGAGCTGCGGTCGGGAACTTCTTGATGGCGTGTCGCTCTGCGGGTTCTGGCTCACCACGCTTTGGCGCGGCACGCTATGCAAGGTTCGCGTCGTGTCGACCGGCGGCGACCCCAGCACGGGCGTTCAAGGGTTGAACGCCGCCCGTGGCCCAGAATTGGCCCATCCTCGAACGATCCGGCGTTTCTGAAACGGCCGATCTCAAGTTTGAGCGATCCCCGCGGTGTCAGAAACCGACGCTTAGGTCGGGCATGTCCCCTTATAGGTGGAGTTTGGACGAAAAATCAAACGTACCCCAAACATGCCAAAGAAATTACAACAAATAGTAGAAAATCGTCCCCATATGTTTTTCACTATTTTTGAATCTTCCCCCTGTAGAGGGACCCGCCCTGGTCGATACGACGCGAAATCGCCGTATCCTCTTCCAGTCCCAGAGCGTCAACGTCCCGAGCATTTCCCAGCCTCCCGCCCCGCGCAGCGGGGCGACACTCAGGAGGGAAAAAAACAGACACAATGAATCGTCGATCCCCGACCAAATATGGGAAAATATGGGAAGTGGTGGTGAAGACGAACACCCAGAAAATTATGGAAATACTAGGAGTCCTTGGATTTGTGTGTGTGTATTTATTTGTGTGTCCCTTGGCCCCCTCAGACACGCTATCCGTTCGCAGGGCATGGCGCGACTCCTGGGCCGCCGGTGCGACACGCTGTGCAAAAGTTCACGACCGTAGTATTAAGTCGGGCGTGTCCCCCGACATGAGAAATATTCAGCAGTAATAGAACAAATTGTTGACGCTTCGCGTATCCCCACCAGCCCATCCAGAAACGATGCTCAGGGGAGTTGAGGTGATCAGGGAAGTCGGGGAGCATGCAGAATAACAAAGGGCGGGGGAAGCTGTCACAGACCCCGAGAGGGGGAGGATGGAAGAGGAGTCGTCGTCGTCGTCGTCGTCGTCGTCGGAGGAGGAGGAGGAGGAGGGGGAAGAGGAGGAGGAGGAGGAGGAGGAGGAGGACGGAGAAGGAGGAAGAATCGGAGGAGGAGGAGGAGGAGGGGAAGGAGCTTCTTGGGGGTCTTTTGAGGGCCTCTTGGAGGGCTTTTTGGGCGCCTTGGGGCATCTTGGGCGCCTCTTGGGACCCTCTTGAGGCGCTCTGGGGAGCCTTCGGGGCGCTTTTGGGGCCATCTTGGAGGGAGTCGATCAAACAAGAGGGGGGGTTTAATTAGCGTCCCCCCTCGGAAGCCCCTAAAATCGCCTCTTGGACCCCTCTTGGAACGCTCTTGGAGTGCTCTTGGGCGCTCTTGGGGCCGTCTTGGGGCTCTTTTGGGGCTCTCTTGGGGCCCTCTTGGGCCATCTTGGAGCCATCTCCAGGCCTCGGATGGCCATCGGAAGCGAAAAGGCGAGAAAGCAAAAATCATTGATTTTCCTTAGGTTTTGGGACGATTTTGGCCTCTTCGGGGCCTCCTTGGGGAGCTGTTTGGCCACTTGGAGTTATCTTGGGGCCGTCTTTGGGCTTCTTGGAACCATCTTAGGAGCCATCGTGAGCGATCTTGCGCTATCTTGAGCCATCTTGGAGCTCATCTTGGGTTCTCTGAGGCGCTCTTGGAGCCGTCTTGGGCCATCTTGGACGCTCTAACTACCCGCGGCCCCCCCCGTCCAGGTCCAGGGGAGGGGGTAGGGGGAGGGGTAAACCCCTCCCCAAGGGGGAAGAGGGAGGGGTGGAAGAGGATCTGCTCTAGACCACCTACGCCCAGAGGGCTGGTGGGATTATCGAGACGGTATTTTTTCGCAAACAAGTATTTTTTATTATTTTCGGACTACTTTCAATTTTTCATCCAAAATCCGCCTGCAGGGGGACATGCCCGACCCAACCGTAGTGTGTAGAGTGGATCAGCATGTTTCGACATTGGCTGACGTTTCCCGACCTCGCCAGGCATCGGGAGTGGCATCGGCAGTCCTCCGGGCGAGAGAGCGAGGACCATCGCGCTTCGCGCTGCGCCACGTCGGGCCACGCTGCCCGCGCACCCGCGACGCTGGACTTCTCACCGACACCCCAGGAGGTGCGGCCCGTCAGCCGTGCGCGGCCTCCTCGCCGACGATTTCGGCGGCGGCGGCGTCTTCGCCGTGGTCGTTGTCGTGGTTGTCGTGGCCGTCGTGATTGTCGTCATGGTCGCTGTCGTTGTCGCCGTCGTCGTCTTCCCTCAGCAGTCGGCCCGTGGACCTGTCTAGGGGTGCGTTCTGACCAGCCTTCGCAGGCGAATCCTGCCGTGAGGACGACGACTTTCCAGGAGGCCCCCACCTTGGTTCTATTTGTTTGTAAAACAAGAAAACGCATTGGGCGATGTTGTCTATATCATTCGGTTTGCATCTTGGGTTCTTGACATGCTGGAAACGCTAAACAAAAACGCGACGGTGGTTCAGTGTGGTTCACTTGTTTTGTTTGTTTTTGCGTTTTCAGGCCCGTCGCTGTGGATCATCGTTGTTTTGTGTTTTTTGCTTTCTGTCGAAGGCTATTTCTTGTCGTCCCTGCTGTCTTCGCTCCCGCTCTTTTCTGCCGCCGTTATCCCTCCCGGGGCTATAAACGTGAAACAAGCGTTCTAACACGGATCTGACACCAGCCCGAAACAGGCCCGAAGGTCCGTAGGCTCTAGGAGGGACAATCGGCCATTAACCCGCCAGATTGCACGCCAGGACAAGGACTGCATGCCAGGAGAAGGAACTGAAAACGTCGTAGATGGCATTGTCAACAATGTAGCCAACTAATTTGGAAATTCCGAAAGAACGCAGCTGGAAACGTACAGTAAAATTGTTTGCTTTGCCTTAGCGTGTTTAGTTTTCTTGCTGGGGCCAGAAAACGGTTAAAACATGATTTCCAACATGCCGAGTCAAAAAATACGTGAAAAAGACGCCCTGGGTACATCTGTTGAAGAACCTAGACCCACACATGAAAGGAATTCGAAAACTGTGGTAGTGGTCGGCCCTGGCCGTGTCGGTTGCGTCGTCGTCGCCCGAGACGAGGTCTTCTATCTCCTGCGCGCGGCGCTCAGCGCGGCCATCAGCGACAGCCCACCGCAGGCGGGAGGGGAACGCAGGGGCCCGACGCGCGGCAAGACTGCTTCAGAGTAGATCGCCCTTCGCTGGGCGGCAACTCCTCGAAGGTCTTTGCTGGCGCGATTCGGAGCGACGCAGCTGGGTTCAGCAGCTACTACTCTGGGTTAAGCCGGACTCCGTCAACCCTTCTTTGTTCGGCCCAGGGTCTTGTACCTTTACCCATCGGTTGTTGAAAGTAGGTAGTTTGGGAGTCCCAGATTCCAATCTACTTTAAGCGCCTTCCTGCTTCAATGATCGAGTGGCTGCACATTTTCCGTCTTTTTTTAGGGGGCGGGCGGACACCCAATCTACTTCCAGCGCATTCCTACTTCATGCTTCTACCTACTTTTTCCGACCGATTGATATTCTGTTTCAGACTACCTGTAGGGGCGCGAAGAAAACGCGCCTCGTGATTGTAGCCGAAGTTGGGCAAGATAGGGCCGATCCAGGCCAAATCATATCATGTATTAGCCATGTCAAGCCAGAGTCGGCCCCAGATCCGTGCCAAGGAAGCGCCAGAGCCGATGACCGTCCCAGGAGGCGCAACCGAATAAGTGTCGCATATGTGAGACCTTCCTTGCCACCGTAGTCTGGCCACGTTTCGAGCCGCCGTGGGCGACTGGAAAGACCTGTTTCTTCAGTTTTCCGATGAGAGCAGCAGGAGGATGAGCAGCAGGAGGAACACGAGGAGCAGGACGACGAGGCGCTGCAGGGGTGGTTCTGGGCACCATGTGTGACCGCACCGTGTGCCCCGCACGGTAGTCGAGGGGGGGTCCAGGGTCTTTGTTATGGGTTGCAAGAGGGAGGCATGGGGCGGTACGCCAGGTGGCGCGTCGCTACCCTAGCGCATTACTAGGCATGTGCTGTCTCAGATGCCGCCCACGTTCGAGGCGAGGACGAGTGCGCGCGCATACTTTTTTTCTGACCGTTGCGCCGCCCACAGTGCAAGCGGAGAGCTGACCTCGGGCGATTGGGAGTCGAGAATTCTCAGGGGCAAGCGCCCTCGTTTCAACGGTGTGGCGCGTGTGGATTGTCTTGCCGAGCGAGCTGGTCAGTAGGCACTGTGTATGTTAGAAGCATTCCTTATTCACCTCCTCCCTCTCGTCCGTTGCTGCCCCCTCCTTTCGGCGAAGGGTGTTGGTGAGGAAGGAGGAGGAGCAGGAAGCAGGATGAGGGGGGTGAGGAGGAGAAGGACGCTGTTGCTGGCGTTCATGGTTGTTGATGTGGTGTGCTTGGTATGAAGCAGCGTCGCCGGAATCATTTTTATTTCCGCACACGCTGCGGCCTTTCATGTGAAGCAGGGTCGACGAACATAGGAGAAGGATGATGCGGAGGGAGCGGGCGGAGGATGAGGAGGAAAGGAGGACATGAGAAGCAACGGAGGAGTTGAGGAGGAAAGGAGCAGGGGAGGAGGAGGAGGAGGAGGAGGAGGAGGAGGAGGAGAAGAGGAGGGGGAGGAGGATGAGGAGGAGGAGGACGAGGACATGAGGGGGAGGAGGAGGAGGAGGAGGAATAACATGTGAGGACGGACGGGGCCGCGTACATGCCGTGTAGAAATCTAGTTGTAGGCGGGCCGGGCCCTGGCATTACATTTGTGAGTGGCATCGACCATCCAGGTAGGAGCAGGAGGATACGTGAGCAGGGGGCAGAATAAGGCAGAGGCAGAGGACGGTGAGAGCAAGATGATCAGCTGGAGAGGGAATAGCATGAGCAGGATTAGGCAGAGGCACAGGATGAGTAGACCGATGAGGAGGAGCAGGAACAGGATGAGGAGCAGCGTCAGCAGGAGGAACAAGAGCAGGAGGAGGCAGACGCAGAGTACGAGTAGGCAGAGGGGGAGGATGGCAAGCTAGGTGCGCTCGCGTCATATCTGACGTCCTATCCCTCCCTCCCATCCCTTACTATGGCGTAAATCTCCTCTCTATTCGCACAATCAGGCTCGTAGCATGGCATGGCATTCTATGGCATGTCATGGTGTTGCAGATTTCTTTGGAAGGACCAAACACCATGCCGTGGCATGGCACTGGAAATGATGACGCCAGCGCTTCAGCGAGAGCACGATTTTGAACGAGCGGAAGCGCGGAAATGAGGCCAGCGCTGCAGCGGGAGCACGGTCCGGAACGAGCGGAAGCGCGGAAATGATGCCAGCGCTCCAGCGAGAGCAGCATTTTGAACACAAACCAAACAACGCGGAAGCGAGGGAATGAGGACGCGTAGCTTTACATAGCATGGCGTGGCGACGCTCCAAAAGTGGGGGCTTCTGTGGCTCAAGAGATCAGCGAATCGACACCGAATGTGTGATCACTTCCGATGTTTTTTTCGGGGGACCATTTTTTAGATTTGGGGGCCACTTCGAAGGACCGAAAGCAATGCCGTGGCATGGCGCTGGAAATAATGACGCCAGCGCTGCAGCGGGAGCAAGATTCGGAACGAGCCAAAGCGCGGAAATGAGGCCAGCGCTGCAGCGGGAGCACGGTTCGGAACGAGCGGAAGCGCGGACATGATGCCACCGCTGCAGCGGGAGTACGGTTTGGAACGAGCGGTAGCCCGAAAATGATGTCAGCGCTTCAGTGAGAGCAGCATGTTGAAGAAAGCGGGAAAAAACGCGAAGCGCGGAAATGAGGACGCGTGTAGCTTGACATAGCATGGCGTGGCGACGCCCCGAAAGTGGGGGTGGGTGGCTTCTGCGGATCAACAAATCAACGAATCGGCACCGAATGTGTCATCACTTCCAATATTTTTTTCGGGGGGCATTTTTTTGATTCTGGGGCCTACTTGGAAGGACCGAAAGCCATGTCGTGGCATGGCGCTGGAAATATTGACGCCAGCGCTACAGCGGGAGCACGATTCGGAACGAGCGGAAGCGCGGAAATGATGCCAGCGCTGCAGCGGAAGCACGGTTTGGAACGAGCAGCAGCCCGAAAAGGAGGCCAGCGCTTCAGCGAGAGCAGCATGTTGAAAAAACACCTAAGCGAAAACCCGTTTCCTGGGAATCCAGTATAATAAACCATCACGCGGAGGGGGGACGAATCTTTCCGAAACGCCACCAGGCGAGAGAGGAGGATAGTATTCATATCGTTTACTTGTGGAGGAGGAGGAGGAGGAGGAGGAGGAGGAGGAGGAGGAGGATAGGGAGGAGGATGGGGAGGAGGATGGGGAGGAGGATGGGGAGGAGGAGGAGGAGGAGGAGGAGGAGGAGGAGGAGGAGGAGGAGGAGGATGAGGAGAAGAGGAGGATGGGAATGACGAGGATGGAGCAGACGAAGGTCCGCAGCCAATTTGGCTCGAGCCGTTTTGGCCCAAGCCATTGTGGTGCAAGCCGTGTTTCCTGCTTTCTCCACTGCCTGTTCGCTCATGACCGCCGCGTGCTGCTGGAGTGTGAAGAGGCTGCCGAGCTGTGGGAGAGTTGGAGGCTTGAGCATGGCGCGGGAAGGCACGCCGTGCGGGCGTCCCCTGGAAATCAGCTGCTCGTCATGCAGCTGACCCGGCCGTCCAGAGGCTCCGGCTGGAGAAGGCGCACATTACCCAGGAGAGCCCCATGCTCAGGGAGGTTGTGGCCTTGCTCGTCGGCGACGCCGAGGTCGGGCAGCGGGCGATTGTTGCGATCATTCCGGCGCTGGCGGCGAGGCTTGCGGGCCACTTCCCCGAGCACACGGGCCAGCCTTCGGCACAACGCTGCAACGCACGCTGGCGTTCGTGCAGGCGCTGAGGTTGCACGGGCGTCGCCGCAGCAGCTCCAGCATGGGCATCGCAGTGCACGACTCGAAGCTGGGCAACCTGGCGCTCGCGCGGCGAACCCGCTGGTGGCGCGCCTCGGGGCCCTCTGTATGTGCGGCGCCACGCTCCTCTCCTCCTGCCGCGGGCGCACCCGGCCGCAGGTGGAGGGCGAGGATTCCGAGCCGAGGGAGAACGTGGATCTGGGCGCCGGCTGCGCCCGTGCCCGACGCCGAGGCCGACACGCTTGCCGGAGCCATGGTCGTCTCGCCGCCCGACGCCGTGATCGACGCGCAGCCCGACACCGAACATTCAGACCGACCACAATCCCCACGATGCTGCCCATGCAGTGGCCACGGCAGCGCAACAGCACCGTCATTGTCGAGTCCCCGACAAGGTCCCACTAATGCATGTTATTTTGTGCTCGCAAAGCGCGACGACATGCAACGACAACGCTGCGAGAACTGCAGCGGCGAAAAATGCATTCACCCAACTTCAGTGCTGTGGCTACGTCAGCCTTGGTGCCGATCAGCTTCAGGGCCGAGGCGCCCATAGTTTGTGGCATTCCTCGGAGGGCATCGTCGGCCCGCGGAGCGAGCACAACTGTTCGTGCAGCGACGTGTGCGCCTGGATCGAGCGCCGGACGGCCAGTTGCCAGCTGACGGGGTGTCCCCCCTCACCACGCAGCGGAGGCGTTTGATGGTAACACTCGCGGCTTGGGGGCCGCTGATGCTTATGCAGCCGCTCGTGGTGGTGGTTCTCGCGTGAGCGCTCGTGGCTTTCGTGGTATCGGGCCGCCCACGGTCGCTTCGTGTAAGCAGCCGTAGCTGCTGCTGTGCGCAACCTGCTGCCTGTCGTGCTCTTCGCCACGGGCATCGTCCTGGACCGTGTGCGCGTGATCAGTTCGGCCTACAACAGTGTCCCACCCGCTATCTCCGAGTGGTGCAACTGCGCGGGCTGCATGGTGATCATGGTCCGCTTTCAGACTTGCTTCCCTTCTGAATGGAGGGTGGGTGCTCTTGTGTTTGCCTCGTTTGAATGCCTCAGTCTGTCAGGGACGTAGCTTGGAGATGATGATTATGATGCTGATGATGCTGATAATGGTGATGGTGGTGGTGGTGAAGAAGACGATAATGATAATGCTGAAACTGATCATGACAATGATGGTGGTGGTGGTGATTATGGTGATGGTGGTGATGACGATGATGATGGTGATGATGATGACGATGGCGATGCTGCTGATGACGATGCTGAAGATAGTGGTGCTTATGATAAAGATGATAATGGCGATGTTGATGGTGGTGATGATGATGATTAGGATGCGAATGATGAGTGTGGTGGTGATGCTGATAACGATGCTGTGGTTGATGATGGCGACGATGCAGATGATGATGCTGATGACGAGTATGTTGATTATGCTGATGATTCTGATGATGGTGATGCTGCTGATGATGGTGGTGATGGTGATGCTGCTGCTGCTGCTGATGATGATGATGATGATGATGCTGCAGATGACGCTGCTGATGCTGATGACGAAGATGGCACTGCTGCTGATGATGATGCTGATGATGATGATGATGATGATGATGAGGAGGAGGAGGAGGAGGAGGAGGAGGAGGAGGAGGAGGAGCAGAAGAAGGAGAAGGATGGATCAGAAGGAGGATGCGGCATGAAGATGAGTACGCAGGCAGGTGATGAGGAGGATGAGGAGGAGGAGGAGCAGGAGGAAGAGGGGGAAGATGTGGAGGAGGACTCCCCGCCCCAAATCCTGACCCCCCCAACCTCCCCGGAGGCCCAAACTGGGCAGAAACGTCTCGAAGTTTTCCTGAGACGCCCAAAACACTTCCCTTCCCCGGTTCTCGAGAGTCGACAGCAGGACGCATAGCAGGCGGTGGAGCAGGAGGAGGCAGAAGCACGGGCCGAGTAGGCCGAGGAGAAGGAGTTAGGAGGAGGAGGCGGAAAAGGATGAGGAGCAGCCTTATGTGGAAGAGGATCAGGCAGGAGCCCCTGCTGGACCCCCCCCCGTGGAAGGGGAACCTGTGGGACCACCTCGCGCGCATCCCGGAGCCGGGCCGCCCCTGGGTGGGGGCGGGCGGGCGGGCCCGCTGTCTGAGGGGGAAAGGGGGGGGGGGGGGAAGGGGGGAGGGGAGGGGCAGAGGGACAAAGGGACGGACGGAGGGGCAGAAGGGGGGAGAGAGAGGGAGGGGGGGAGGGAGGGACGGACACAGGGGCAGAGGGACGGAGGAAGAGGGAGGAAGGGCGGAGGAGGAAAAGGAGGAGGAGGAGGAGGATAATGATGATGATGAGAAGGAGGAGGAGGAGGATGATGATGGTGATGATGATGATGAGGAGGAGGAGGAGGACAGGAAGATCAGGAGGAGCTTGGAGCAGAAGAGGATGTGGCGGGACAGAAACAGGAAGAGGACGAGGGCCCCGTCTTCCCCCTGCTCTCCTCTCCCCCGCTCCTCCCCTCTGGCCTTCAATACACCCTCCCGTCCCCCCCGCTCATCCCTGTAAGCATTAAGCTTCACTTCGCCAAGTGCACCCCTCGAAAGACGTTCGCTCCATAGGCCGAAAGCAGGCGGGAGTTCCGTTTCGAAAGGAACTCCGTGCATCGTTCGAGCCATGAGGAATGCGACAAGGTGCGGTCATCGAGGTCAAGGAAGGCCCCAGCGACAGTTCCGCTCCGAAAAGGAAAGGAACCGCCATCATTCCGCGTGAGTGTGACATGATTGCAAATCGTACATCGTGGACTATCACAAAATCTGAGGCGATAGTTCCATTTGGGTGAACAAGCCGCCCTCCATCATATCCGTCCAACTGCTGGATCTTTCTAAGGCGACTGTGCGCCGCGGCAAGGCGAGAGCCCCACGTCGACAACGGTCTCTTTAAGATGAGCACGCGCGGCGCCCAGGCGAGCGCCCCATGTTGAAGATGAGCCGCCCTCCATATGTGATCCTGGGTCGAGGGTTTGCAGGCCCCCCCCCAGATGGGAGGGGCGGGACGACGACGACGACGACGACAAGGACGACAACTTCGGTGGCGGCGACGACGACGACGACGACGACGATGGCGACGACGACGACGAAAGACAACGACGACGGAAGACGACGACGACGACGGACGACGATGATGATGACGATGACGATAACGTCGACGACGACAACGACGACGACGACGAAGGCACCGCAGCACCAGCCCACACCCACAGGGGGAGGGAGGTGCACCCGCATCCCCCACCGCGCGACGCCCACAGGACCACGATCACAGGGGGGGGGGGGGGGCATCATGCGTGGGGGGGCGGCCTGAAGGCATCAGCACGAGGGGGGGGAGGCTCAGAACCCTGGATCGTACATGTAGCTGTTGTTTTTAACGCGTGTGCGCGGCGCCCAGGCGAGAGCCCCATTTCGGAAATCACCATTTTCGAAAATATACAAGCAAGAAGGACGGATGAGGAGGGTGGTTGGCCGGGGCATGGGAAGCAGGAGAAGCACGCGCACGACGACGTGCAGGAGCAGGACGAGGAGGAGCCATATCAGGGGCTGGGTCAGGAGCTGGAGCTGTATGTGGCGGAGGACGAGGGAGGGATAGCGACGGAATTGGATAACGATGCTGGTGATGACGGCGATGACGATGTTGATGACACATTAGATCACGATGACTGCAATGCGGAGGAGGAGCAGGAGGAGGAGGAGGAGGAGGAGGAGGAGGAGGAGGAGGAGGTGGACGAGTAGGCGGAGGCGACAGAGCAGTTGGTGGCGGTGGCAGAGGTGAAGAGGGAGTGGAAAGCGGAGGACGAGATGGATAAGCAGAAAGTTTAAGTGGAGGAAGAGGGGACAGAGGATGACGGGACGGGGAGGCGGAAGCTTGTCGCCGCCCTGGCCCAAGAGAGCGAGGTTCGCGACGACGACCGCGAGCCAAGTACTCTGATGCCACCAGGCTCTCGAGGGATCCCGCCCGAGCCAGCATCTTCACAGGCACGGAGACGTGCTCGGGCCCTTCGGCAGCGACCCTCCAGATCGGCAGTTGCTGCCAGCTTCCACCTGCCCTCTTCCCGCGGAGGCTCGCCGGTGTTTTGACTCCGCTGGCTTCCGTGGGCCCGCCGCCAACCGCCGCCGATGGGACGCCTCCTCGGTCCCTCGAAGACGGGGACGGCCTCGGGGCGCTCTGCAGTCAAGCAGTGGCGAATCGTCCTGACCTGCCGATCGGCCCACCAAAGAACTAATATATATATATATATATATTCATGGTTTGCTCGAGATGTTCTTAGGCCGTTTGCTGAGACCGTCCTGTTTTCATACACCGGCGCCTGATGTTCTAAGAACCTTGATTTTTGTTAAGAAGACCCTTTCGATCTGCGAACATGTCTTCTAGAGTTGCAAGTCTGCAGGAACACCGGGACGGTCGGTCCTTGCTTAATGCTCGGGCGGGTGGTAATGGGTGAAGCAAAAAGTTCTAAAGGGGCACTGCAGGGCCCCGTTTGTCCCTTTAGGGCCCTTTGCTTCAGCCCCATTGAGGCCACACACACCCCTCACCACCCGCCTGAACTGCATGGCCCCCCCCCCCGCCCAGCAGAGGGCCTGGCCCGCGGAGAGCCCGCGGAGCGGAGCCCGCAGAGAGCCCGCGGAGCGGAGGGAGGGCTCGGCGCGCGGCGGTGGGGGGGCAGCCCCCGCTCAGCATGGCTGAACCTATCCCCACCATAATGTTGTTGTTACCCTCTGGGCCATGACGCGCGTTGTGCCCCCTCCCCTCCCCTCCCCCCACCCTTCCCCCCCCCCCACGAAGTAACGCTCCCCAGCATCAGTGCGTCCGCGGCACTGCCGCAGTGCGCCAGCGCCCCCTCCTGTCCCCCCCTTGCCTCCCCCCTCATAGCGCATAACGCTCGTTATGGCAGCGAATGCGCAAACATGCGCTGCATCCCCACCGGGCCATGGCACTTCAGACTCGGAGCCGGCTCGGGGTCCGAGGTGGCCCGTGTCTCGGCCTCCAGGGGCCGTTGTCGGGCCCAGGGGGACCGTCAACGACGGATTCGGGATGAAAAACTATACCAGGTGGACCCCGCGAGGGGTCTGGGGACCGATTTTGAACGGATTTGGCTTCAGCCCCCTCCTGACAGATTTTCTCGGGCCGCGGCCAGTTCAGACCCCCCAGCCACCTTCAATCCCAGCCCCACCATCCGACCACCCAAGTTCGCAGGCAAGATTTGTATCCATATCCACTTCATCGTGGAACTTCGGCCCCCCATCCACAGTAACGCGAGGCGCGGTGGATGTGGACAAAAAAGTATTGCCCCTATAGAGACTAGATGTTTATCCATATGCACCGTGCCTCGGCCCTTTTGGCGCCCGTCCCCAGAAAATCCAAGACGCAGTGGATGTGCATAAAAATCTTACTTACAGCAGTGGGGAACGTAGACTCCTCGAAACCCGAAGGGCGTGGCCCCATCCAGGAGGGTATTAGCCGGACAGTGGGGCCCAGGCCACGCCAGCGGGGATGACCGAGGGAACGCTAAATGATTCAAGGCGCGCGGATCAACGACAGGTCCCATTTCCACACAAATTCGGCGTGTGTTGCCAGATAAGGCGGCATTGGCTTCATGTTTCAGGGGTACCTTTCCCGATCCATGGATCTGGCGCCCACGCACCAGATCCACGGATCACTGATCCATGTTAGCGTGCGCCCGAGATGTTGTTGGAACGCACCCCGAGTTTGGAAAGTTGCTGATAACCAACAAAGGCACCGAAAACCTTGGACTTCGAGCCTCGAACCCTCGAACCTCGAACCTCGAGAGGGTCCGACGACAGCGAGGATGGGGATCGGTCGAATGGTCCCCGCGCGATCCGCATTCTTGCGACCGCGTATCCGCGGCATCGCGCCCCGGAGTCTAGACCGCGAGGGCACGGATACTGATATGTTCGCCGCTCGACCGTCCTCCCGCACGCGTCCCCGCCAGAAGCTCGCTTTCGATTGTAGGGAAGGTGTCCCGCATCCCCCCAACGCGGTGGCGTGGGAGGCCATCCGGCCCACGAAGCGGCTGCGCACAAAGGTGTCGCTCGCCGACATGGCGCTCGCTCAGGCTTCGCCTCCGCCGGCCCCATGCCTGCACGCCCTGAACTTGGAAGTCTGCACAGGCTTTCGGCCTAGCTCGAGGGGATACAGGTTCGCTGCTCGTGTATCCGCGGCATCGCGCCCAGAATCCAGACCGCGAGGGCGCGGATGCTGGTATCGTTGTGCGGCGATGAACGGGGGGGGCGATGCACAGGGGCGCAGGGAGGGCTGCCACAAGGGGGCCCTTGAGGGCACCGAGAGGGGCGGTCCCCCGAGGGGTCCTCCAGGGCCCAAAAAGGCTGCCTCCCTTCCCCCCCTATTGATCGCCCCCCCCTCGTTGATCGCCCCCTCATTCATCGCCCCCCCCTCTTATTGCCCCCCCCCCTTGAATTCGCGCCCACGATCTGTTCGCCGCTCGTGAACGGCGATCGGCCAAAACGCTGCTCGCCCGCGGCTGGGCGGGATGCCCGCGGCGCGGAGCTCCGGGCGCTCGGCGCGGCACGGCCGCCCGGGCGGTCCGCGGGCGAGATAGTGCGCCGACGAGGGCGCGCTGGCGGTGCGAGCGGACTGCGGTGGGGGTGCTCGCTGAGGGTTGATCCCAGGAGGTTGCAGAGCCTGCGCGAGCGAGCGCCAGCTGGCCCGGCGGCGGGCGTATTCATCGCGGGGCAGGGGGGAGGGGGGAGAAGGGACGAGGGAGGTGGGAGGGGGGAGAGTCGAGGGAGGAGCAGGAGGGAGGAGACTGAGTGCAGGAGCAGCGCAGCTCCAACAAGGGATATGATGAGGACTGGTCGTGAACTCGACCTCGCCTTCGCCCGCGCGGTAGGAAGGAGGTCGAGTCCACACCCTGCGGCAGTTCAGCGAGTGGTCTGAATTGGGGAGGGTCGTGATCCCATCACAGCCTTCGTCCAAGCGGGGTAGGGGGCAGGAGGAGGACGAAGAGGAGGAGGAGGAGGAGGAGGAGGAGGAGGAGGCGGAGGCGGAGGAGGGAAAGGAGGAGGAGGAGGGAAAGGAGGAGGAGGAGGGACGCTTTTATGGACTATGTATGATGGATTGTGTTGTTTTCAGGTGTTTCAGGGAGGCTCGAGTGGGGTCAATGAAGAGGGGCGGACGAGTAGGAGGAGGAGAACTAGTGTAAACCCAGGACTCATCAGCGATGTTGAAATACACCCTCCCTCCAAGATCCCTCTCCACTGGCCCCTACAAGGGGTCATTTCCACTGAGGGAATTGCCCCGTTGGGGGGCAACGTGTGAACATCTTGGGTCGTGCCAAAAAAACACCATTCTCGGACTTCAACGCCGCGGGCCAGCCTGACTGCTACGTCCTGGAGATCCTGAGTCGTGCCAGATCACCATCCCTGGGACTTCAACACCGCGAGCCAACGTGACTGTTGCACCTGACAGTCCGGAATCGCTCCCAAATCCCATTGCTGGTATGTTGACCATGATATTCAGGGAAACTCTGGCAAATGTTGAAAGAAAATCATCGGATCTAAGGCGAGAGCCATAGTTTGGAAACCACCCGCCCTCAATCCGTCAAGCTCATGCAAAATTTGAGAACGAATGTGCGCAGCGCCCAGGCGAGAGCCACATTTTCAAAACGACACGCCCTCAAACCGTGAAGCCCTTGCGAAGTCTTGATAATAATGTGCGCGGCGCCAAGGCGAGAGCCACATTTTGAAAACGGCTCGCCCTCAATCCATGAAGCGGTTGTCAATTTTGAAGCATCAGGGTCAGAAGTGGTGAGGAAGTCTCAGGCGAAACGCCTGACCCGCCCTTTCGACCGGCCTCAGGGTGCGACAGGCAGGAGTTATCCATAAGAAAACTGAATGGAGCAGGAGGAGGAGAAGGGGGAGGAGGAGGAGGAGGAGGTGGAGGAGGCGGCCAGGAGGAGGAGGAGCAGGCGGCCAGGAGGGCGCCCGACAACGAGCTGCGAGGCGAAGACAGGCGTGACCAGCCCAGCCCGCTGCCTTGGAGGTCGGCTCCTCGCTGAGCCTGGCCGGCCTCTGGAGTCTGTCGCGCCCTGGCCGCCCTGCTGGGCCTCTGTCCTGGTGGCGCCCTGGCTGCCCGGCATCTCCCTCGGGTCTCGGAGATGCCTCTGGGTCGACCGAGGAGCTGTGAGAGCACGGGGACGCGAGCGCGCGGCGGTTTCAGCAGCACAGAGGCGTGGTCGCTCTGCTCCTCCTGCTGCTGATGCGGCTCCTCCTGCTCCCCCGTGTCTTGGGGCCCGGTGCCACGCCACGCAGGCAGCAGCCTAGGCTTTGCACTGCCCTCTTGGGAGCTCATTACTGTACGCCCGTTGCCCAAATGGTTCGCGCGCTGTCTTACGCTGGGCGTCACGGCGCTGTGCGCGTGCATGTTGGCACTCCCATTCGGGCGCCCCGTTCCCTTCCTGCTCCTGCTTGCTCCTCGCCGCAGCGGCGGCGATGGCAATCCCGCGCCAGCGGGCCACGCCCGCGCACGTTCTCGGGAGGCCCATTTAGAGATGCGTCCGTATATGTATACGACTAGATTTACACTACGCCAGAGAAAACCGCAATGTGTACGACTAGATTTACAGTACGCCTACGTATAGGAATACGAGTAGATTTACATTGAGCTGCCTATGAATACATATATGTATACGACTAGATTTGCATTACGCCAGAGAAAAGCCCCAATCAGTGGATGGTGTGTGAGCAGGAATCGATAACGAGATCGATAAGGAGATCGACTGGGAACCCGGGAACACGGAACCCACCGAAATCGGCCCGGAACCAATAGCCAGGAACCCGGGAACCGGGAACCCAGGAACCCAGCCGGCCACCCAAAGTCGGCGGGAAATTTTCGCCAAATCTTCCAATTTCCACCAGAACACCTTCAGTGGAAGCACTGCTAGGGAATTTCATACCTTGATATTTGTATATGTATGTGTATATGTGCATATGTGCAGGTGTATACGCATGCGCACCTCCGAGCTGTCCGCAGGCCAGGGGGGTGCCCGAGGCCCGGGGAGGACCCGAGGCCCCCCACGTCCTCGCAGCCTCGGATCCCTCCTCGCCGTGCGCGCGCGCTGCGCCCGGCGTCCTCGCATCCTCGATCCCTCGTCGTCGCCGTCGTGGTCGTGGTCGTGGTCGTCGTCGTCGTCGTCGTCGTCGTCGTCGTCGTCGTCGTCGTCGTCGATATCGTCAACTTCGTCGTCGTCTTCGTCGTCGACATCGTCATCGTCGTCTTCGTTGCTATCGATGTCGTCGTCGTCGTCCTCCTCCTCGTCGTCGTCGTCGTCGTCGTCATCCTCGCCCTAGTCGTCGTCGTCATCGTCGTCGTCGTCGTCGATATCTTCAACGTCATCTTCGTCGTCGCCGTTGTCGTCGTCGTCGTCGTTGAGATCGTCGTCGTCGTCGTCGAGGTCCTCATCATCGTCATCGTCGTCCTCGTCGTCGTCGTCGTCCTCGTCGTCCTCGTCGTCTTCGTCGTCTTCGTCTTCGTCGTCGTCGTCGATCTCGTCGTCGTCGATGTCGTCGTCGTCAATGTCGTCATCGTCGCCGTCATCGTCGGCGGCGGCGTCGTCCTCGTCCTTGTCCTAGTCCTCGTCTTCGTCTTTCTCGTCGTCCTCGCCGCGCGCGCGCCCGCCCCGAGGAGTGGGTGGAGCTGGCCCGCGTCGCCGGCCCCGGCCTTTCGACTTGCGCGCGTCTGCGCGACGGGCCCCCGGAGGCCCGATGCGCCGTGGGCTCAGCGTTGGCGCGCGACGTCTGGCCGGCCAGCGGCACCGCCGTCGGCGCCGTCTCCCCGCCGCCGTCGGAGTCAGCGTCGAAGACGGAGTCGGAGGAGGAAGAGGAGGGGGGGGGGAGGAGGAGGAGGAGGAGGAGGAGGGAGGAGGAGGTGGAGGAGGTGGAGGAGGGAGGAGGAGGAGGAGGAGAGAGGAGGAGGAGGAGGGAGTAGGAGGAGGAGAGGGGGAGAGGAGAGGAGGAGGAGGAGAGAGGGGGGAAGAGGAGGATGGGGGGGACGAGGAGGATGAGGAGGAGGAGGAGGAGGAGGAGGGAGGGAGGAGGAGGAGGGAGGAAGGAGGAGAGAGGAGGAGAGGAGGAGGGGAAGGAGGAGGAGGAGGAGGAGAGGAAGGAGCGGGGGAGGAGGGGGAGAAGGAGGAGGAGGAGGTAGAGGAGAGGAGGAGGAGGAGAGGAGAGGAGGAGGAGGAGAGGAGGAGGAGGAGGGGAGGGGAGGGGCAGGATGAGGAGGCGGAGGAGGAGAAGGAAGAGGAGGAGGAGGAGGAGGAAGAGGAGGAGGAGGAAGAGGAGGAGGAGGAGGAGGAGGCGGAGGTGGAGGAGGCCTGGCCGGTGATCGCCTTGGCCTACCAGGTCGTCAGCGGCTCGTTCGGCGCCAAGGGGCGGCTCCCAGGAGGGGGTGCGCTGACACGTGGTCCGCAGTGGAGGGGGTGGAGGAGGAGGAGGAGGTGGACGACGACGAATGGGCGCATCTCCTGGAGGGTCCAGGAGGGCGTGTACATCAGGGCGTCACAAAAGACTGCGATGCACGACGGCCTCGACATGTATCGAGATGGGCCGTTTGGGACCGCAGGATCAAGGCGAGAGGGCCTGAACTCTATTGAATGAACGAGGCCATCACCAGGTTACGCGCACTGTTGGTGGCAAGTTCCCGAACAGCAGCGCACCGACTGGGTGCAGGTGGCCGCTTCGTTTGGCACAGAGCATACTCAGTTACTCATGCTCAAGTAGTTCGGACGCGTTCGCACACACTACGCAGACTGAAGGAGTTCAGTGCGTACGCAGCTACTTAGGCCACACTCGCAGGACAGCCTTTAAACCTGCGAGCGGTGCTTGCGCTGGGATGCCTCGTAGCCCAGGGTATTAGCCATGTTGTTGGAACAGCACGGTGCACTTCATACCTGGTTCCACACTGTTTCTGTATCGTCAGATATCGTCATCGATTCTCAACCTTGTCCGTAAGGGCTTCGCCCCCTGCCGCCGGCCCCCTCTCTATCATAATGGGATGTGTCAGAGTCACGTTGGTGCGTCACTGCGCTGCCTGGGGCGGATAGGAATCATCAGCGCATATTGAGACGTTGGCGTTATCGAAGACGCCTACGGCGAATCACCGCCGCCCCCTGCCTTTTTGGAAACGCCAATGTGGCCGAGAGTTTGGCTAGAGCTTGGCCAAGCTATCGGACCATGAGTTCCCTGAGTCAGTTTGGACAGCATTCGGGGAACACTTGGGGGAGGATGACGGGGAGGATCAGGAGAGGGAGGAGGAGGAGGAGGAGGAGGAGGAGGAGGAGGAGGAGGAGGAGGAGGAGAACGAGGAGAACGAGGAGAACGAAGAGAACGAGGAGTATCCGACGGCGTCAGACAAGCCAGGGTCGCCCTATAAGACGGCCAAAGAGCCCCCAAGAAGCCCCCAAAAGCCCACAAGAGGCCCAAGAAGGCCCCCAAGAGGCCTCCAAGAGGCTCCCAGGAAGCTCCCGGGAGGCCCCCCTGGGGCATGTCAGTGCCGTCTTGGAGATCATCTTGCGCGTCTTGGAGGCCTCTTGTGTTCGCTCGGGGCCGTGATGGGGGCGTCTTGGGGGCCTCTTGGGCCGTCATGGGGCCATCTTGGAGGCCTCTTGGGCGACCTTGGGGTGATTTTGGGGCGATGTTGGGCCGTCTCGGGCCGTCGGAAGACCGAAAAGGCGCAAATGCCAACATCTTGTTGTTTGTTTGTTTGGTGGTTTTGTTTTTTTTCACTAAAAAAACAAAACAATCAATGATTTTGGCCTCTTCGAGCCCTCCTGGAGGACCTCTTGGAGGCCTCTTGGGTCGTGTTGGGCTCTCTTGGAGGCTTCTTGGGCGAACTTGGAGGTATCTTGGACTCTCTTGGGCCGTCTTTGAGGCCGTCTTGTACCATCTTAGGCGGACTTGGGGGCCATCTTGGACCATCTTGGCGGCCATCTTGGGCCAACGTGGCCATCTTGGAGGCCATCTTGAGCCGTCTTGGGGGATTTTTCGGAGATTGAGATCCCTTTCGGGTGGCCGGCAGGACGGGCTGAAGCCCCAGGGGGAGTTCTTTGGGAAAAAGAACCAACACCAAAACCGAAAGAATCTAGCACGCCAGGCACCCCTGTGATGAATCAACAGGGGGCGGCGGATCGAAGACGCCTACGGCGAATCACCGCCGCCCCCTGCCTTTTTGGAAACGTCTATGTGGCCACAACGTTCGGACCATGTGTTCCCCGAATC